CTTCAAAAAATTAATAACTAAGAAATCTTGGGAAAGCGATCAGGTCCAGTTAAATTTTTTATTTCTTTTTATTTTATTTGGAAGGCAGGAGAGAGAAATGTTTCATCCATTGATCCATTGTTGTATGCCTACGTGCCTGCAGCAGGCTTGACTGGGCCAGAGCAAAAGCCAGGAGCTCCAAGAACCCAGAAGTCAATCCGAGTCTCTGACATAGATGACAGAATCCCAAATATTTGTGTCGTCACCTGCTCCTTCCCAGGGTGTGTGTGACTGGAAAACTGGAATTGGAACTAGAAACAGGACTTCAACCATGAACTCCTGTTTGGAATATAGGTGTCCAAAGTGATATGTTAGCTGGCTGTACCAAGCACCTGCCCCACCAGTCAGGTTAAGGTCAGTGGATGAGATTGTTGTTGAAAGATACAAAGAATATAATGCATACAGAGATAACCTGCTGCCTAGTGTGATGTTCAGTGAGTTCTGAGTTATTGTGAAACTGTTGGTATCTTCTCTGTTTTCATGCAAGGACAAGCCTGCTTAATGGAAGCATATGGATTTAAATAAGAATACAAATAGATCAGATGTTTAGAACAATGTATTCAAAAGCTGTTGTTATTTCAACTTCATACTATGACCTTCACTTTAAAAAAAATCATCCACAAAAATATTTTTATTTTAAAATTTGCTTAGCAATATTTAGGAGGTGAAAGGGGCAAATATGAAAGTATATAACTGTTATTAATAACATTTTTTAGTTATTGGAATTATCAGTGTTAGGGTTTTATGTGCTTTTTGCTTAGGTATGGGCTCCCGCATATACAAAGGCTGACAAAATCAGTATCTGCCTCCAGAGATGTTTGTTAGACTTGATGAAGCTACATGGACCCATCATTGTTACTTAAAATCATAGTTTGTATTAGAGTTTGTTCTTGGTGTTGCACATTCTAGAGCTTTTGATTTTAGTGCAATTTTTGTATGTAGTTTAGCAGTTATATTTTATAACATATATATATGCATTAATTCACTTAACAGTGTAACTAACAAACATGTTTTTCTGTGCTTTGTTAATACAGTCTTCATACTTGTGATTTAAGATTTATTTATTTGAAAAGCGTAATTACAGAGAAAAGACTGAACATTTTTTTAAAAAATTGATTTTTATTGGAAAATCAGATTTTTGGAGAGAAGGAGAGACAAAGAGAAAGCTCTTCCCTCCACCAGTTCACCCCTTAAGTGACCACAATGACCAAAGCTGAGTTGATTTGAAGCCAGGAGCCAGGAGCTTCTTCTGGGCCTCTCATATGGATTCAGGGTCCCAAGGACTTGGGCAATCCTCTGTTGTTTCCTAGGCCACAAGCAGGGAGCTGGATTGAGACTGGAGAAGCCGGGACAAGAACAGTGCCCATATGGGATTCCCGGCGTGTGCAAGGCGAGGATTTTAGGCACTAAGCTATTATGCTGGGCCCAGAGAGAACACCTTCTGTGCACTGGTTCACTCCCCAAAGGGTCATGATGATCAGATTGGGGCCTGACTGAAGCCAGGAACCTGCATCTTCTTCTAGGTCTCCCTCATGAATGCCAGGACCCAAGCACTTGGGCAGTCTTTCATTACTTTCCCAAGCACATTAGCCCAAGGCTCAATCAAAAGTGAACAGCCAAGAATGACCTGGGTTCAGATAGGATGCCAGTGGTAGTGACAGCATTGCAGTCACTGGCCCAATGTGCTGCACCACAGTGCTGGCCCCCTTTATGAAGCATGCTGTTGCTACAGTGGAGAGATGAATGACCTGTGATTGTTTGCATCTAAAGACAGGTCGTAGTTAGTTCCTACACGTGCTTTAGAGGGAACGATTTCACTGAGGAGGAAGCAAAAGATTTTTTTTTTTTTTTAAGGAAAATGATCCAAATACTCTGGGTTCATTTGTGAGTCCAAAATAACTTAAAAACATATTTTTAAATTTTCACTACAATGGAAGGTTATACACCGTTAGTGCTGAACATTCATATTAAAGGAGAAAGAGGAGAGTAAGGTCAAAATGCTGCTCTTAATTTAGTGTTCAACAGGGAGCCGCAAGGAAGACAGAGTGGAGAGCTGCTTGGATTTCCATGAACTTTGTAACTACTAGAGTATCTCAGTTTTCACATTCCTGCTTGTTGAAGCTGTTGAAGCTGGTCCCGCGTGTGCACTGGCTCGCTCACAGTGGTCATGTGCATGTTTCGAGTTAGCATGAAGCTATCAACAGCCTGCCTATTCCAGTGTCTTGTTTCTTCAAAGTATTTGTTTTCCTTTCCGCTACTGACTTTAAATCACAATGAACCTATAATTTAAGGATGATGAGGGACTTCTAGACCCCATCTTTAATCTCAAATGATAGGGACTCATATAATTGGCCCCTGTCTGCCAAGTAACTGAGCCAGAATCCCTTGTATATTTTGTCTACAGTATGTTACTGTTTGTTAACTGGACAGATGCATTTATCTTTATGTCTTCTGTAATGTCCTAGTTCAAAAATTATATTTAATTTCTGTATGGTTTAGCTTAGTGTTGAATGCATTGTAGGTATTCAGAAAATACTGATAAAGAAATTTCAAGGTGGTAACATTGTAACATCTGTTGGTCTTATTGCTTTGTGCAATGTTTTTTTCTTTTTTCTTTTTCTTTTTTTTTTTTTTTTTTTACAAAAAGGTGGTCACGAGGGAATATTTTTATTTAAAAGAGAATATAAAAACTCAGATCATTCTCCAGCTTTACTAAAATATAGCCTAATCTACTAATAATTGATTGTTCTGCTTAATCTGTTTTCAGATTTCTTAGAGCATGAATGTACTGTGGAATATGCTGAGGCATTTATGATAAATGTAATTTTTAAAATATGGATGTACTTATTTGAAAGTCAAAAAGACAGGTAGAGGGAGAGAGACAAACACCTTCCACCCACTGGTTCATTTGCCAGATGGTTGCATCGGGCAGAGTGGGCCAGGCTGAAGCCAAGAGACAGAAGCTTCTTGCAAGTCGCCCGTGTGGGTAGCATGGCCCCAAACACTTGGCCAATTTCCACTGCTTTCCCCAGTTAGTAGGGAGCTGGATCAGAAGTGAAGCATCTGGAACACAAACTGGTGCCAGCTTTACCTGCTGTTCCACAGTGTCAGCTGCCCTGAAAAATAGACTTCTGAAGACCAGAATTTTAACGTAGAAAGTACTCTGTGAGAGAAGCCACACAGGAGTTTCAGTTCAACCACTGCTTTTAATTGATCATTTTTGACAATTCCTCTCTTTGCAAATTGTAGTTTGTTCAACTATAAAAGGAGTAGGGGCTAATGTGTGGCACAGCAAGGTAACGTGCTTCCTGCGATGCCCACATCCTATATCAGAGTGTCAGCTCAAGTTCCACCTGCTTCACTTTTGATCCAGCTTCTGCTAATACACCTGCTAAGGCAGCGGATGATGGTTCAAGGGCTGCAGCCCCTGCCATAAGACAGGAGTCCTGTGTGAAGCTCTAGGCTCCGGCTTTGGCTCAGCTCACAACTGACTGTTGGAACTATTTGAGGAGTGAACCAGTGAGTGGAAGATCTCCTGTGTCTGTTGCTCTCTGCCTTTGAAATAAATAAATAAATCTTCAAGCTTTATAAAATGAGTGAATTAAGCAAAAATCATACGATGATCTCTAAGGTTTGTTTTTTTTTTTTCTCTGCTACATTGCTATGTAAACTTTTACCAGCTCGCCTTTACTTAACCTTTGGCCATTCTAACCCTTCTCCCAGCCCTCTCCGCAGCGTGTGCTGCCCGAGTGCTCTTTAGTACGCCTACACTTGTCCGTCCCACCAGTTGAGTCACTACTTTCCCAGAGTCCGTGGTGTTTATCCCAAATCTGTTTATGCTGGTTTTACTTGTTGTATTTACGTAATTTAATTCAATGATATACCAGCCAATGGCATCAGAGTATCAAAATAGTTATTTTTGTAAGTACTAAATAAATGTGGAAAAGCTGTAGCTGGTGCCTTACTTAACTAGATGCAGCCAAAACACCCATACTCAAAGAAAGCCCAGCTATTACAAACAGCTGATGGTTGTGTTTTGTATGCTTTGTGCAAGAGCAAAAGATTATTTATTTTTATGATTCTTCACTTGAAAAAATCCGCTTCCTTTATTAGCAGATCAAACTCCCCTCAGGTTGTTACTCTTCCATAACCATCATCACACTGTAGACCTTGTTTCTTGTGTTTGGTTTAAGATTTATTTATTTATTTATTCATTTGAGACAGTTATGGTAGGGTGGGGGGGGGGATCTTCCATCCTCTGGTTGATCACCCCTCCGCCCCGATGGCCACCACAGCCAGGGCCAGGCCAGGCCAAAGCCCAGATCCCAGAGCTTTGTCTGAATCTCCCATATAGGGGCCCAAACACTTTGGCCATTTCCTAGTGCTTGTCTTAGGCCATTCCACAAGGACCTGGATCCCAGGTGAAGCAACTGGGATAAAAACTGGGACCCATACAGGATGCTCTGGCCTCATAGACAGCAGGCGGCTTTACCCACTATGCCAATATAGTCATCTTATTGCAGATTACAGTAATGCTTTTTTTTTAAAAAAAAAAATGTTTACTTATGTATGTATTTATTTATTTTTAAAAAGCAGAGGCACAGAGAGGAGAAATAGGGATCTTACATCTGTTGGTTCACTTGCCAAATTGCTGCAGTGGCCAGAGCTGAGCTGTTCCGAAGCCAGGAGCTTCTTCCAGCTCTGCCACTTGCTTGCGGGGGCCTAAGGACTTGAGCTATCTCTGCAGGGAGTTGGATCAGAAATGGAACAACCAGGAAACAAACCAGCTCCCGCCTGCCTTATTTGGGATAAATGGTGCTGGAGGCTGAGGTTTAGCCTACTACACCACTTCACCAGCACCAATAGTGTTTTTCATTTGGGTTCTTTCTGCTCAGCTCTATGCGCAGTTCTTCTTCATGTCTCATATTAATGGCCGATTCTTAACTGTGTTTTCTTTACAGAATATCCAGAAAATTCTGGGCCTTGCCCCCTCGCGAGCTGCCACTAAACAGGCAGGTGGATTTCTTGGGCCTCCACCTCCTTCTGGGAAGTTTTCTTGAAATCAAGAAGAATCCTTTAATTCTTGTTGTTTATAGATGTTCAAGACTGTCTGGCATCTATTTTATAGCAAGAACCATAGGCAGCCTTAGCACTTGGGCCACTTTCTATTTTTGAGTTTTTTCTCAGCTTTTTGGATATCAGTAGAGTGAAAATGACACCCAATACATATGATAATGCTTTGGTTCACAGATGAATTGTCTTAAATATGTAGATTGATTAGTGAGATTCAGGTGATGTTTGTGTAAGAAAAACAGCATCTTTTTTGTTTTGCGTACATAAAATGTTTTCTGAGGGACCGACTCTCACGGCTGTGTATGTGTCACATACATGGAAGTCAGCTCTCCAGGAATGAATATTTAGAAATCTAGAAGAAAAACCTAAGGTTGTGTAACTAAACTTAATTGGAGCTATTTGTTGTATTTTTTAAGCTAAATATATCTCTTGAGATCAATAAAACAAATTTTTAGCTGTTTCATCCACAATATTCTGTTTTGTTTTGCGTATTTTTTAGTAATGGGAGCATAAAGACAAGTGTTGACCAAGAAGGACTCAAAGAAAAGGTTTTTTTCTGTAGTTTTACCATTCTTGCCTCTTAGGCTCAAAATCTGGAGTTACAGTATAGAAATTGGAAGATGGAGTAGAAGGGAAAGGAATGACTCATGGAGTTTTGAAAAAGGATCCTCAGCGTCCTCCCTTGGCGCCTCGCGAGGGAGCACGGGGCTCGCGACGCGCCGGGCTGTGGTTGTGTGTGGCTGTCCTGCTCAGCTTCTTGAGTCACGGTGGCCTTCAGGTCCTGCTGTGCTGCATTGGAAGGAGGAAGGATGCATGTACCATGATTCTGCCTCATAACCCATGAAATCAGAACTTCTATGTGGAATAATAAACATAAATGAGTGTGTGAAATTTCTCAATAGTCTCTTAGATGCGCTCATTCGACAAGTGAAGAAAAGCACATGATACTCAAAGTGGGTTAAACCATCAACGACCATGAGGACCAGATGGCGGTAGAATCTGTCTTCAGCATACCAGAGAAATCAATACCAATTTTGAGCCTTATGCACAGCTCAGTCAAAATCGGGACAAAATAAAGACATTATCAGACATGTACAATCTGAACTAATTGAATTATTAAAGTTTATATTTCAGGGGCAAAGGTGAGGACCCACCCAAGGGAAATACCACAAACAGGGTTTCCATGGAAATTGATAAAACATGGATAAATATGTTTTGTGCATTGTCTTGGTTAAGGATTATCTCCATACAACCCAATAAAGTAGTTATGACTTTTTTTAATTTTGATTTTTATAATGAAGAAACTAAAGCAGGACAGAAAGATTAATTGATTTTGCCCAACATCGCTTGACTATTGGTGGCCAAGTCAGGGTTTGAGCCCAAGCGCTGTAAAGCCATATAGTTCGCAGTTAGAACTTAATTCTGTTCTAGCCTCTGCTTAGGTAAGGATCACATTTCTGTTCCCATCAATGGTCTCTTGCTAAAGTGTGTGAGCTCTCTTACCCTGGATTTTTGGGGTTTTGTTGTTGTTGTTGCTGTTGTTTTGTTTTTAAGTCTCTATTTTTAAAGGAGTCGAGTGAGAATACAACAGAAACTTCATTAATATAATTAGATGGAAGGTTTTCAGGCTTTTTCAGAAAGATGCTTATCATGAATGGTGATGATGTTTTAATGGTCTATTCTTCATGTTAAGAAAAATAAAGATGAGGACAATGTGATAGCAATGGCAAATATGACAAAATATTTAAAACAAAGTATAAAAGAATAATTCTCGAGTCTTTTTTTAAGAGCTATTTTTATTGGAAAGGTAGTTTTACAAAGAGAAGGAGAGACAGAACAATCTTCTATCCACTGACTCACTCCCCAGATGGCTGCAGTGGCTGGAGCTGAGCTGATCCAAAGCTAGGAGCCTTCTCTTGGGGTGCAGGGTCCCAAGGCTTTGGGTCATTCTCTACTGCCTTACCAGGCTACAAGCAGGGAGTTGGATCGCAAGTGGAACAGGCAGGATAAGAACTGGTGCCCATATGGTACACTGGCACTTGCAAATAGAGGATGAGCTAGTTGAGCTATTGTGCTGGCCCCGGCTATATCTTTTAAAGTTAAGTTTCCCTTGTAGAGTGAGCAGAGGGAGAAGTTAAAATACAGGAGGAAGCACAGAAAGCCTGTGTTCATCCTGTATTTTTGAGAAGTATGAAAGCAGGGCCCCGTGCGGTGGCGCAGTGGTTAAGGTCCTCGCCTTGCACGCCCGGGATCCCATATAGGCGCCGGTTCTAATCCGGCAGCCCTGCTTCCCATCCAGCTCCCTGCCTGTAGCCCGGGAAAGCAGTCGAGGACGGCCCAAAGCCTTGGGACCCTGCACGCACGTGGGAGACCCGGAAGAGGCTCCTGGCTTCGGATTGGCATAGCATCGATCGTTGTGCTCCCTTGGGGAGTGAATCATGGGACGGAAGATCTTCCTCTCTGTCTCTCCTCCTCCTCTCTGTATATCCGCCTTTCCAATGAAAATAAAATAAATCTTTAAAAAAAAAAAAGTATGAAAGCAAACACTGCCAAAGAAATAAAGGCTTCACATCACAAGGATTCAGTTTAAGGTTCTCAGATTTCCTTCAAGTAACGGGGTAAGCAGATGGGACAGCAGGTGATACAAGATTAGCTGGGAGCTGGTCGTGGTTGACATATGAATGAGACCAGGGTGGGGTTTTTTTTATACTGCTTTTTTGGAGAAATATTTTTCCATTCTAAAAAATATTTTTTTTAATTCAACCAAAAAGAGTGCCTCTTCAAAATTTTTCAGTTTCAAAACTAGTTCATATGATGACACTCGATTCAGAGCATCATTGAATCATTGAAGATGCCATTTTTTTTTAAGATTTATTTTTTTCTATTGGCAAGGCAGATATACAGAGAGGAGAAGAGACAGAGGAAGATCTTCCATTCAATGGTTCACTCCCCAAGCGACACAATGGCTGGAACTGAGCCAATCCGAAACCAGGAGCTTCATCTGGGTCTCCCACGCGGGTGCAGGGTCCCAAGGCTTTGGGCTGTACTCAGCTGCTTTCCCAGGCCACAAGCAGGGAGCTGGATGGGAAGCAAGGCCACCAGGATTAGAACTGGCACTCAAATGGGATCCTGGCACGTTCAAGGCGAGGACTTTAACCACTACACTATCGCACCAGGCCCAAAGATGGCATTTTAAGTCAGAGAGGCTTTTCCCAAAGCTCATTATTAAGCTGGTTTGCCTATGTAAAAGACTGTGCCCTTTCAAGGGGAAAAAAAAAAGAAGGCATTACTAACATGTGCATTGGGTTACTCAAGTTGTACTCATACTAAAGTATTAAATTACATGCATAAAAACATGAACTTATGCCCGGCGCGGTGGCGCAAGTGGTTAAAGGTCCTCGCCTTGCACGCCTGGGATCCCATATGGGCGCCGGTTCTAATCCCGGCAGCCCCGCTTCCCTTCCAGCTCCCTGCCTGTGGCCTGGGAAAGCAGTAAGGACGGCCCGGGGGTTTGGGAACCTGCACCCGCGTGGGAGATCCAGAAGAGGCTCCTGGCTTCGGATCGGCATAGTATCGGCCCATTGCGCTCACTTGGGGAGTGAATCATGGGACGGAAGATCTTCCTCTCTGTCTCTCCTCTCTGTATATCCGCCTTTCCAATAAAAATAAAATAAATCTTTAAAAAAAAAAAAAAAGAATGTGCTCGCTTCATTTTGATTGTTCCCAGCAAGCAGGCAAGAGGAGCGAGGGACGTAAACACGGATGGTCGTATCATTTGCTGTCGTTGTAGGGGAAGGCACTCGGAGAAGGACACCGTCGATCCTCCCCATGGGGAAGGTTTTGAGTACTATGTCAGCACACATGGGCTAAGCCCTTGACTTTAAGGATCGTATTGTCACATTGAGGGTCCGGCAACTGAGTGAGCAACAAAGGATGCTGTAAATGGAAACGAAGACAATGAGATTGTAGCGTACAAGAGGATGTTGGCCACACAGACACAGGAGGGCTTCTGGAGTCAGAGACAAGAGCTAAATTCTGAAGGCTTTTTTTTTGGAGTTGTCTGGGGGAAAAGTTGGAGGAAAGAACAGTCAGGACATGGAGAATGATGTAGGCAAGGAGACAAGAAACCGCATGGATCAGGAGGGGGGATTCAGAGGGAAGCAGCAGACGGAGAGAGCAATTCATGAGAAGCCAAAGGACTTGAATGAGTCTTGGGGTCATTTGCTGTAAGCTGCCAAGGACCATGATCCAATGGACAGTGTAAGATCGCCCTGGAGTGGTTAAGCTCCCATTAGGTAATCCACATATTGTGATGGAGTCCCTGGGTTCAATTCCCGGGAGCTCTGCTCCTGAATCCATCTAGCTGCTAATGCACAAGCCAGGAGGCAGCAGCCATTGCTCAGGTGCTCGGGTCCCTCTTCCTGATGGACACCTCAACTGGTGTCCCCCAGGTCCTGGCTTCTGCCTGGTAGAGACCTGGCTGTTGGATTGAAGGAGTGAACCGGAGGGTGGACTTTCTCTCCTGTTTCTCTGCTTTTTTCAAATATGAGAGAAGAGGCCAGGGTGGGAGCAGGAGAGGGAGCTATCACTCAGGTGGCAGGGTAGACACAGATGTGGAAAGTGGAGATGGTGTTGTGATATAGCATGGAAAGCCACAGCCTGCAATGCCAGCATCCTACCCAGAAGTTCTTCAAAGTCCTGAAAGTTCCACTTCTGATCCAGCTCCCTGCTTATGGGCCTAGGGAAGCCGCGGAAGATGGTCTGTGTTACCTGGGCCCTTGCCACCCACATGAGAGACCAGAAAAAGCTAGCTCTGGCTTCACCCTGGTCCAGCTCTGGCTTTTACAGCTATCTGAAACAGCAGGTGGAAGGTCTCTTTCTCTCTCTGTAATTGACTTTCAAAATAAATTAAATCTGTAAGAAGAAAAAGAAAATATAGAGGGCTGATGCCACTAAGCCTCTGCCTGCATATAAGCCTGTATGAGTACCAATGTGAATCCTGGCTGCTCCACTTCCAGTCCGGCTCCCTGCTAATGTGCCCGAGAAAGCAGCAAAAGATGACCCAAGTTGTTGGCCCCCTGCACTCACTGGGGAGACACAGAAGAAGCTCCAGGCTCCTGGCTTTAGACAAGCCTTGCTCCAGCTTTGTGGCCATTTAGGGGGTGAAGGAGCAGATGGAATATCTTTCTCTTCTTCTGTCTGTGTAACCCTGTCTTTCACAAATAAAACATCTTAAAAAAAAAAAAAAAGGTAAACCTTAAGAGTTAGGATATTTGTTACATGATTGTCCTACTGTGTGCCAGGAGATACTGTGGTAAGCAAAAGTGTAGTGCCAGAACTTCATGGAGTGGCAGTCTGGCAGGGGACACGAATGCCAAAAATGCCAAACAAGTGAACGTGTCATTATAAAGTCAGCGCTGTCAGTCCTGCAGCGTCACTCCGTGCCTTGCTGCTGTTATTGCCCCACCCACACGCCTTCCTCCTAACTTGCCCTGCTTCAGAGCGCCCAGGGGGGCCATCTTCCCCAAAGGTGGGCATACCACCAAAGCAGGTGTGGCCAAAGAAAGAATGCAGGCTCTTGCTGTTTTGTTGGGGGCTTTTCTCTGAAGATGTCAGCCTCTCCACCCCTTGTTGGCTAGTGGGTCACACACACTCCTCAACCCACCCATTGCATAGGAGTAGGAGAATGGGCTTAGTCTAGTGTGGACTTACCCTACTTAGGTGGTTAGACACTGGTGCCAAACTGGAGCTTTGCGAGCCCAAGAAAAGGGAGAAGGATACAAATTGGGAAGGATACCCATTGTAAGGAGAATGGAGGATGATTTAGAAAGACCATTCAAGACAGAAATGGGCTGCCACAGAGGGTAACTGGGCCCTTGGATCCAGTTGCTCAAGGTTTCTTATTCTGTGTCTTGCTGTTTGCTGCCACCTAGTGCGGGGTTAGCTCTTCCTAACACGACTGGAAGTCCACGTCCTAGAGCACCATAAGAAGGAATGTAAAAGCACAATGGCTGTTTGTATATGGTCAGCTCATCCTTGAAATGCGTGGCTGGAGGGTTTGCCTTTCCTAGCTCTCTTTGAGCCGAGTCTCAGCTTCTTGTTTGTATGCGTTCGCCACCTAGTGGTGGTAAGTGGCCACGTTTTGAATCCACT